GGACAAATCACCGTCAAATGTGTGTTTGCTGCCCAGCAGCTCGGAGCTCTGCTCCCTCGTCCTCAGCATAGCTGAGATCCATATGCAGAGGCCCGCTAACCAAGTCGTGCCGACTTGAAATTCATTGCCACATCCTCCGCTTCTTCTAATGGAGACGGTTGCACTCGGAAGACTTCCATTCTGGCCAGACCAGTGCGGAGGCCTTCCATAAAGACGGTCATCGTAACCGCCTCAGGAAGGGGATCTGCTGCCATCCCGGTAATGAGAAAACGCATCTCTTGGACAAAGTCCACCAATTCGTTGTTGCCCTGTCGGGCGGCAAGGAAACGCGCTCGCACGCGGTATGCCTGGTTTGGCGGCGAGAACACTCGTGAGAGCTGCAGTTCCAGCTCCACCCTGGAGGTAATCGCAGCTTCACCCGAAGTGCCGCACGCCAGTGCCCATTCTCGCGCTCGACCACCGAGCTTTGAGATGGCTAGCGCCACGCGCTGTTGCTGGGTCTGGAGCATGGCGGATGCGATGGCCATCACGACCACTCTCACACAGAGTAGGAGATTCTTCCCATCCGCCTCCTCGAGGACCATAACGCTCACCATGAGCGACTTAGAGCGAAGAGAATCATCCGTCACTGACGGTGACGCCATAGACGCAAATGATGCAGACATCTTCTGCTGCAGGTGCTCTAGCAGCGCATTTTCGTAACTCATAAACGCCTCTAGACGCGCACCGATTGCCTCGGGGTCTTGCGCAGCAAGGTGTTGCACGCCCTCAGGGCCAAGCAAGGACATCAGCCTGTTAAGCCTGTTCTGCATGTCTGGGGCACAGATAACAAATTGTTCCATCCTCACTGAGGATCATTTTCAAAGACTCAGGTGTAGATTGACTACAAGTGCTACCAAGTCCAACGGGGCTGCTGTAGCTTTGCACTTAGAGGAAGCGTATGTTAGGTCACCGACCTCTCGTTCTATGCTCGGAACAAGTACGAGTTTAGCGGATCGCAAGCCGCTTACTCCAAGAGTAATTACAATTTTGACCTAAGGCTAATTAACGTTTCCGTTTAATTTAAAACTGTGTTTATTTGTTTTTTATCTGCGGCAAAGCCGCCTAATTTTAAATGTATAGATTTCCTTAAATATGTATAGTAAAATCTAAATGCATGCATAACTACTGGCTACCCAGCCACATACCATATTCTTGTTTGGGTGCAGTCGCACCATGCCCATCTGGTGTGATACACACACCCCTGTTACCAGGGTATGTGTTACATCGTTACAACGCCGCTGACATTATTTTTTGTCTCTTCTTGGCGCCAAAAGAAACCAAGAAACACGCATTTTAAGCACTTACTGCGCTGAAGTTCAATCCCTTTACTGCACATACTAGTTATAGCCACCACGAGCAAACATCACATTGGGTGTCACAAAATTAACCATTATACTTTCGTGTAGTACAATTGTATCAGATAAAATCTGTATAATGATACGATACGATATCTCACTTCTGTGCAATTGTGAATATTTCGGATAGTAGAGGTTCGTGGGCTGCGAATCGGACACTAAATTATGTTGAAAGCTATTGAGTCAGTTCCTGGGTGGAGAGTACGATCCCATTTTGTGTGCGTTTGTTTACGCGGACTCTTCGAGCGAGGTTCGATCCTGTCGTGGTCAACTTTATGCACAAGACTACGAAGATAATCCACTTGTGTCGGAGACGGATACTCGAGCATCTCGTCTCCATTCTCACATGTGTACTGCCAAGTGCAACGGATTGCAGAGCATTTGCGCAAAACTGGCAGCCAAAATACCGGAAATGTGGTAAACGCTCGCCTGAAGGCGCTCACCGACTATGAGGACGCAGTAGTGAAACCTCCTTAGACTGGATGCTGCTTAGAGGACAGATGGCATCTTTTGTGAGGACACTGATGTTAAACATCAAGCCCATTGACTTCCGATCTGACAACATCCTCTACGGACAAAAACCAGTTGTTGAGACCATTCAAACGACCGTAGCTCGTGAGGTTTTTAAGTGAAGAGGCTGTGCACAATAGACCATAGCGTATCGTACTCTGTGGATCAGGTGTTTCCAATGTAGAGAAATTTGAGTCGACACATTTCGCGGGAGTTTGCACTGTTTTATTAGATGAAAAGCTTACTTTGGAAGCGCCTATGCACAGGTCAGGAAAGCCAAGAACTAGCAGTAATGGACTTTGTCCAGTAGTTAGGAGCCTATATTACCGCAATGGCATCAGAACCTCTTTCGAAGGTGATTATGGCTACCATCTTATCTTCGAACGGATGCGGCTCGCATTAAGAGCCTTCCATATATACTACTGGTTTAAAAAAGCTGGGTTTAGCATTGAACGCGAAGTGCGAATTCCATCTGGTTACGGTACTGGAGATGTAGCATTTCAAGGGGCCCAGAAGCGATAAACTCAGCCATGCTGAGACGGAATGGAGAAGCTGATCATATCCGCGGTACTCGCAGCTGTTATATCGGTAATAGTTCCACGCAATTGCGTTTAATGTGCCCCTTCGCTCAGCTGAGAGGTAAGTCCGACCGAGCTTCCATGCAAGAGCGGACTACACCTCCCTTTTGAGAAAACTTCTGATCTCAGTAAACGCAGGGTGACCAACTGGATTTATCGCTCATCGTAGTCAATTAAGCCGAGCCCTTTCATGTGCAACTCCTTATATAAGGTGTGATACTTTCAGCCTGGGGTTGTTGACTGTAAACATGCTGTAAATTTTCTGATGGATTTAAATGCATTACTGTTAACGATACGTGAATGTATAATTCCCGAACAAAACGCGGACATCGAAAATGCTAGATACGAATACGATACTTGCGCGTCTTGTGACGGGGGCATATCGCAGTTTAAGCAAAGCGTTTAAGTATTTTTTTGAGGATTTTGACAATGACACCTCCACCTGGACACCAGATACGATCTCGATCTACTTATGCCGCGACTGGAGTGTCATGAAGTTTTATTCGACGGGGTCTCGACGCAGTACGGCGCCACGCACTTTCATGCCGTTGCAGCTTTGGTGGGTCGTGGGCTCTCTTCTGCCAGAAAACAGACACGCTTTAAGCGCAAGGCTGCGATAGCTTCTCTAAAGATATTGGATCGTCCAAAATTGATGAGAAAAGTCGAGCAGAGCTCGGAAGGCATTAGCTGCAGTGACGAGCCGTCTCTGAATGAGAGGGGGAAGAACGACTGAATGTCGTGGATTTCAGAGTGAGATGTAATATAATAGCCATGGGTGGTGTTTCCTGTGCTCACGCCGATTAAGAGCAAGCGAGACTGGGTTTAACAGTCCTCCGTGCCAGCGGTTGTGGGGTAAAGGGAGACTGCAAGTCAGGAGTAGAAGCGTCAGGCCGTGAAGCTCAAAACAACGCCTCATCCATGTCACTTTGTTGCGGTTGCTGATTCAGCATTATCGTGTGATGTGCGCGCCGTGCAGAGCAGCAAAATTTCGTGAATTAGCAGTAAGGAAGTTAATCATTCGTGACCGGGCACAAGTGATCATCTAGAAAAAGCTCTTATAGTGCTAGATATGTTATCTATATGGATGTGGGCAAGGAATTGCCAGACAATAAACTTACCGAAATGAATGGTTGTACCTACATGTGGAGCGAGATCCCCATTCGCTTTATATAAACTCGACTGTATTTATAAAGCACAGAGAGCGAGCAGTGGGACATCAATAAAAAGGAATCCTCAGGACCTGTTTTTTTTAATTCTTGAGGGAATATTCTGATGTGGTTACACGAGACCCTTAATCACGAGTAAAGATATACATCATAAAAATGAATTTGATCCCCGGGCAAGTATTTCGTCCAGCGGCAATGACATGAGCTAAGAGATCAGTGTGATGGCATTTAGAGGGCTCGTTGAATGAGCGATCATCTCCAAACATTTTCTATGGTAGAAAGGATAACGGCAATTGACGAATTGTGTATGTTTAAACTACATAATCGTGCTCATATGATTCACATTTGAGCAGTGCCCGAGTGCAAAAGGTTAAATAAGTTATTCATATGTAGTGTGTCACTGGACGAACATGACTCCTTTTCAGTACCACTCTATTGCACAGCAGCGCCTACGAGTAGACACCTCAAAGAGAAATTACTGTCGATTATGTAGTGCCTCTGTTCCAAGATGTCCCGTGCAAGTGCAATTAAGACTATGCCAATATGGCGCGACCGTTAAGTAATCTCCTTGATAATGATGTTAAATGGTAATGGGATGCGAAAGGGGAGAAAGCCTGATGCGACTGCAACATTGTTTCCACCGATTCCAAGTATATATGGATGGGCATGTATTCGTAATCATGTTTGCTTCTAGTCAGCTGACAGTGGCATACAATATCTATTTTGATGTTTTTTTTTAAAAAGTATGCCCTCGTCAAGTTGATGATAAACTTGCTTGGATCTAAGCCGTTTGCGATATTACCGATCATGCGTCGTTGCGCATAGCGTCGTCGTTATTTCATCTCTGAAAGCGAATGCCAAGACAGGCGCTTCTTTGCTGTGTGTTCCTGTATAAGCCTGGTCGGCTAATTGTGGCTGAGAACGCTCACTCGCGCCGCCCGACTATAATTGCTGTATTCGCGCTGGTGACGTCACCAAATAATGAGGCGATACGCATAGTGTACAAGTACACGACATGTGTTGCGCTGCTAAAAGCTTTCGGATGCATGGCGTTTGAGATGTTAGATATCGCTCTATAGAAGCAATTGGTTCAACATCTATAACACTATGTCTTATCTCATCATTCAGCACTGACTCACATGACACCCAGCGTGTCATTGTGCCTCATGCTGAGGACCTCAAGTACAGAATTAATATGAATCCTTTGGGTGACCGCCTCGGAAGTAAAAGGAGATAACGTTTGGCGAGCGCTATGCATTGATGCTTAACATGTATGAACGCTTGTACATATGTGCGCACGCGTGAGACATATGGTAGTGCCGCATACCTTGGCGTCTTTGGCCATCTTAACGATTTCGACATGTATAACTATATATTTAATTCATAAGGGCGCGTCCACTGGTACCGGCATTGTACCCTTTGTGAATGTCTGAGTATCGCAACCATCAGCTGCACCGCAGCTCGGGTCTGTACGTCCAGGCCGTTCCTCGACAGAATTTCTTCTAACCCGGTTTGCCGATAGTCAATGTGCTGAATAGATATCTACGCTTTTCAGCGAGGTTAAGCAAACTTATTGCAAAGGTGCTCAGCACCAGATTGAAGATATCAATAGTTGCACATCCACCAACAAACGGAAGACTCGCATTGTGAATGGTAACTTCAAAACCGGTTGGTCGGGGAGACCGCCGTGCTAGAACGAGCTGCTCCGACTCATTCATTTCGGTTGAATACCGCAGTATATGCCTCTACAGACCTTTCCCCATTTGCATAATGTATTTGTTAACCTCGAATGCCGTTGACACAACCGTTGAATGGCTTTGGTCCTAGTTTGAAAGGAATTGTCGATCCAACTTGTGCTGCTGGTAGTGTCGGGTATCAAGCTAGAGCGGTGGATCTATCTCAATGAGATTGATTGTCATTCGTCTGGCGCCAGATTAGCTGAGAGTCATGCTGTCTGCAAGAGTCACGCCTTTGCCAGAGGCAGGTGAAGCACACATGCGTGTAACGGAATAAGAGGCTTTATTGATTGCCGTCTGCATTCTGTAAGATTGTGCTGCGATCATACTGCATCAGACCACTCACGATCTTTCCGAAAAAGAAATTGAGCAATAAACTAAATGTTTTAAATGTGATCATT